GCCTGACTCCTCAGGCCCTTTCAAAGGATTCTGGCTTTTCTATTTCGGGCTACCTACCTAGGGCACCCGTCACAGCTGCCAGCATGTATAAATGCTGGCCTGCCTCTTGCCTCCGGACAGTTAATCTGATGTGGTTAAGTAATCTCCAAGTGAACCCATCCTACCTTTATATTATATATTGTTAAATGCACATAGGTCCTGCCCTGGCTGGTCTGGCTTGAGGTTAGAGCGTCGGCCCGCAGACCATAGTGTCCCGGGTTCGGTTCCCGCCAAGGGCATGTACCTCAGTTGCAGTTTGTCCCTGGCTCTGGTGTGGGTCGTGTGGGTGGCAACCACTCGATGTGTCTCTCTCACATTGATGTTTCTCTCTCTCTCTTCCTCCCTCTCTCCCTCCAGCTCTATCTGATTTATTTAATATATTTTTATTTTATTAATTTGTTTTTGTTACAGATATTTCTCATTTTTCCCCCATTGACACCCTCCTCCCCTCCCCCCCAGCCCCATCCCCAACTTTGTTGTTTATGTTCATTGGTCATGCATACATGCATGTAAGTTCTGTGAATCTCTAGCTCTATCTGAAGACAAATGCAAAAAAAAAATGTTCTCGGGTGAGGATAAAAAAATAAAATGCATATAGGTCCTGAGGGCCTTTCTGGCTTAAACCTATTTCTCAAAATGATGTCAGCACTCAGATAACTCGAATCCCTAGATGTGCCTGTGACTCCGAAAGGCCCCTTCCTTAGCGTTTCCTGGTCGCAGCTCGGCAGGGTCTGTGTGTTAGCTCTTTGAAGCCAGTAACTCTCTCTACCTCCAGCTCTAGCGCAGTGAGCCACACAGAAGAATTCATAGCACAGATATAGACAGTGATTCGCTCTGGAAGAATTCACACAGTGATTCGGATATAGTAAGATGGGTGGATGTATGGATGGATACGTGGATAAGCTCCAAAATTCAGTGGGATAGTAAAACAGTTTGACTTCGGCCCTGGCCGGTTTGGCTCAGCGATTAGAGCATCGGCCTGCAGTCCAGAGAGACCTGGGTTCGGTTCCCACTAAGGGCATGTACCGCGGTTGTAGTTTGTCCCCGGCCCTGATTGGGTCGTGCGGGTGGCGACCACTCAATGTGTCCCTTTCATGCCGATGTTTCTCTCTCTCCCTCGCAACTCTATCTGAACAAAAAATGGAAAAATGTCCTCAGGTGAGGATAAAAATAAATAAATAAAAAATAAATAAAACAGTTTGACTTGGAGAATAGGCAGCCCAGTGTAGCTAGAGAAAAAAACAATTTGTTTTAGGAAATAAATGTGTTCATAAATGTAAGGACAACCAATGTTCTGTTCTCCAACAGCATGTTTAAGAAGTTGAAATGTAACGCACATGCCATAAAATTCACCATTGCAAAGCATACAATTAAGCGGTTTTTAGTGCAATCACAGAATTACACAGTCCTCACTGCTAATTCCAGCACATTTCATCACCATGAAAAGACACTACCTGTAAGCAGTTACTCTCCACCCCCCACACCCCCACCCCGGACCCTGGATACCACTAAATCTACTTTCTGTCACCATCGATTTGCCTGTTCTGGACATTTCATATTAATAGAGTCAGATAGTTTGTGACCTTTTGAATCTGGCTTCTTTCACTTATAATCCCATAAGTGGTTATGGGATTATAAGTTTTCTCTGTCAACACTTTTGCTGTATTGTGATTACTTGTTTAGTGGCCTGCCTCCCACTGGACTATTAAACATCAGGAGGGCAGACACGGTGCCTGGTTTATTTCAACATTGCTGAGGCAGAGCCCAGGGCTGGCCCAGAGGGAGCTGGCAATACACGTCTGCTGAACCGATGGTGCTTCTCCTGGTCCAGGGAGCCTGTAGGGCGGTGCTGGGTGTGCCTCTGTGCACACTCCTGACCTCAGGAACACGGGCAGTTCTCACTGGCTCTAGATGGAGAAGGGATTGAGATCCTTGTGGCATGCATAGCTTGGCCCCGGAAATGTGAGCAGTTTCTCCAGTGGGGCTGCTGCAGACTCACTGCAACACCAAATTAGAACAGAATCGTTAACACTTTATGTGGCTCGTGTGGGTGTATTTCAACTAGATCTACTCGTTAAATGCATGCTTTAGAAGTCATTGAAGACATACATTTTGGTAAATTAATTTATGTAAATATATAATGTATACTTGGAGATTATATGGGAATTAAAAATACAATATTTTAATTTCATATCAATTAAAATATATACACACACACGCATACTGGGCTGCAGCTAGGCTGTCACTGACTTACATCCCCAGCTGCGATTCGGGTCCGAATGGAGCAGCCCTGAGCTGTTAGGACAGGTGGAATGGGGAGCCAGGTGCAAGCCTTTCTTTCTGGAGGGAAGGAGCCCCAGGGACCGTTCCCGAGATTTTCCTGGAGGATCTGGGACTAAGGTCAAGGATTTTCCGCAGGCCCTGGAGAAGGCCTACAGTCATGGCAGAGCCTCTTTCTTGGATCATTGTTGAAAAGGATCTTGCCTGAGAAGACTTGCCCAGAATAAGACACCAGATTCCTCAAGTATGACTCAGATTCTGTGAGATAACCCAGCCCTGGCTGGTGTGGCTCAGTGGTTGAGCGTCGACCCTGCACCAAGAGGTCTCCAGTTCGATTCCCGGTCAGGGCACATGCCCAGGTTGTAGGCCCGATCCCCAGTGGGGGCGTGCAGGAGGCAGCCAGTCAGTGTTGTTTCTCACCAATGTTTCTCTCTCTCTCTCTCCCTCTCCCTTCCTCTCTCTCTAAAATCAATAAAGAAAAAACATTTTTTTACATTATGGAATTGATATGTTAGCATATATATACCCACCTCATCCTTTAATCCCATTTAGATGTGCCATGTTTATTAAGCTATTGTTAGAAATAGTTTTGCTTTACAAATGTTTTGCTATAGCGAATACCTGTGCGCCTGTCTTGATAACCCGTGAGAGCCTTTCAGGACAGAATTTCAAAAGTACAGTGATAGGGAGCCAGTCTGGTTATTCTCTAACTTCTTAGTTCCAAATCTATCTCCTCTACTCTAGCCTCTTGGGGACAGGGACATATTGTTTTATTTATCTTTGTCTCCCCGCCCCCCGCCCCAGTGACTAGCATTGTGCCTGGAACTGTTCGATAAATGTTGAGTAACTAAATGAACAGAATGAATGAAAGGTAACACAGTTTCGATGCCCAGAGACTTAGTCCCATAGACATTCTTGTTTCATGTCCAGCTCCTCTCTCCACAGCTGTGAGGAGGCCTGATGTCTCCCTGTGAGTGAAGCATGGATTCTTCTCCCCTCCCACCGGCAGGCACCTCTATCGCTAGTAGCTGACACCATGGAGCAGCTTAATCATTTCTATTAACCCCTCGTTCAAGGGCTAACTTCTGTCCGTTATTACTGCCAGGCTGCCATCTGCCTCCTCTAGGTTTTTAAATATATTTTTATCGATTTTTCAGAGAGAGAGGAAGGGAGAGAGAGAGAGAAACATTGATGACAGAGCGAAACATTGATGGGCTGCCTCCCGCACGCCCCCTGCTGGGGATCGAGCCTACAACTGGGGCATGTGCCCCGACTGGAAATCAAACCGGGACCTCTCAGTCCATGGGAGCCACACCGGCTGGGCTAGGTGTTAATTTCTAAAACAATTTTTTCTTTTAAATTTATTACCAACGTGGTGAAATGGGAAGCATAGGAGAATGCTGTGTGCCAGGTAGGAATTGGCAGAAACACACTTAGCAGGGGTGACATTCCCTTTCCTGTTTGTTGCCCTCACCCCCTTCCCTCTGGGTCACAGCAGCCCCTCCTGGCTTGTCTTCATGCCCCAGTCTCTCCCCCTTTAATCCGTCTTGCTTATCACTGCAACACAGATGTTCCTAAAACCCTTCTCCTTTCTCAAATCTTTAATGGTCCCCGCTTCATAAAAGCTAAACCTCCTCCTCAGACTGACATTTAAGACCTCAGTGGGCGCTGCCGGTGTGGCTCAGTGGTTGAGCGTTGACCCATGTACCAAGAGGTTGTTGGTTCGATTCCCAGTCCAGGCACATGCCCAGGTTGTGGGCCAAATCCCCAGTGAAGGGCACGCAGGAGGTGACCAGTCAATGTTCTCTCTCATTGATGTTTCTATCTCACTCTCTAAAAAAAAAAATCAATAAAGAAAATAAAATTAAAAGAAAACCCTCAGTGGTGTGACCTCAGTCTATCTGTGACCCACACTTCCTGTCACTCACCTTCCTAGCACGCAGGCTAGACTGGTCTCGTTTTCTCTACACCCTAAGTGTGCCCTGTGCAGTTCTGTCTCAGAACACTTGACCATACCCTGCCTTTAGCCTGGATAAGTTTCCATTTTCTCCACTCATCCTAATCCTTCAGGATTAGGCCGAGTCCTTCCCAGGCAGGAAACTTTATTTATTTATTTATTTATTTATTTATTTATTTATTTATTTATTTAAATAGATTTTTAAGAGAGAGAGAGAGAGGGAAACATCAACGAGAGAGAAACATTCATCCGCTGCCTCCTGCACGCCCCCTACTGGGGATGGAGCCTGCAACCTGGGCCTGCGCCCTGACCAGGAATCAACCAGGACCTCTCACTGCGCCACACCAGCCAGGCCCAGGTGGGCAACTTTTAAACCTGCCCCTGGGACCCACGTGGTCGCCCTCTTCAGAACTGTGCAACCTCGCTTCTTCCATCTTTTATCAAGTCAGTTTGCAAGCCCACTGGCACTGTGGTCTGCAGCGTCTTTTCCTCTCTTCGCTCATTTCGTGTCTCTGCCTGTGCGTAATTTTATCTCCCCAAATGCAGTGTCAATTCTGGATGGCAGAGCCGTGGCCTCTCTGGGTCTGCGTCACAAAGCCACCCGTGGGTCCTGCTTGCCCCTTGCTCAAGCAGATGAACATTCTGTGTCTCCGGAGCCTTTAAGAGGGGAGCCAGGCCCCCAGGAACTGCGGGGTCCAACACTTCCTTCCTTTGCCTCTCTTAGCCATACTGCCCATCGCCTCCAGCTGCTGCACTGAGGTTTCACACCACACCCCCAGGAGGCTTCTGGACAGGGTGAACGCGTGTCGCATTCAGAGAGCTGACGGGGTGTGCGACTTGCCTGCGGTCATGTGAGTGCTCTTCTGGGGGGTGGGGGTCTCGTGCTGCCCAGTGTGTGCAGGTGGGCTGCCTGTCAGTCACTGCTAACTGGACTTCCTGTCGTGATTTTTCCTTCCCTTCGGCAGCCTTCACGTCAAGCACAGAAGACTCTGTGTCAGCCCGCACAGTCACACTGTTAAGCAGTGGATGAAAAGACAAGCAGCCAAGAAAAATGCCAAAGGACACATTTGCCACGTGAAGAGACACCACAGCAAGAGGGACCGTAAAGGGGTACATCAGGGGACACAAAGCACGCGGCCACCAAACTCCTTCCTAGAGAGCGTGCAGTGAGCCCGTGAAGACGAGCCCGACGAGGACGGCCGGGGCTGGCATAGATTCGCCACGTGACGCTCCTTCTGGGAGCCACCGGGGCCAAACAAAACAAGGTTAAAACAGAACAGAACACAATGATGCAGTATGCAAATATAGCCAGTAATATACTCGACTGAAAATGAAATGAAAAGATAATGCTTATCTTTATATAATATTTTAAGAGTGCAGCCCACAAATACAATTTCTTCAATTTTTTTACTATAAAGTTTTCCAAAGCTACAGAAAAGCTAAAAGAATGGTACAAAGAAGGCCTATATAGGCACCCCTCAAGAATAAAGACATTTTCTATGTAATTACATTATCAGCTTTATACCTTAAAAAATTAGTTTCATAACTATATATTACACATTCAAATTTTCCCAACTATTCTCAGAATATTTTTGTTTCTTTCAGTCAATCGCTCAAGGTTCACCTATTACAATTAATTATTATGTTTCTTTAGTATCTTTTCATCTAGGAAAGTCCCTCTGCTTTCTTCCCATGGCACAGATTTTTTTCAAAAGTCTGTGGGTTTGTCTGTTTCCTCATGATCACACACAGGTTTAATATTTTCAGTAAGAATGCTTCCTGTGTGAATTTGTCTATTCCTTACCGCATTCTTTAGAGTTTGTGAACATTAACGCTCATTTTCTACATAGAAATGTTTTGGCTGAATAGCACTTTAACATACCCAGTTTGAATAACTACTGCTGATAATTATCGACTGATAAATTCTGATGCTGAAAAAAAAAAAAGTCTGCTTTGTTCCAGGAGCCATCTACCCCCAAGATCAGTTGTTAGCGCTCTCGGGGAGGGGTCTGGAACTGGGGCCCCTGTGGGATTACTCGCCCTGAACAAGGAGCCTACGTCTTTGAAGCCCTAACCACACTGCGGGTCGATCCTCCTTTGGCTTCCTTGTCCACAGAGTCTTCGGGATATAGAGTCTGACCTGGCTTCAGCAGTAGCCATCGGCTGTCAGGAGCACACAGCTACCTGGCCAGGCGTCAGGTGTCCTGTGCCTCCCTGCTGGCCAGTCGCAGGCAGTGGTGTTGCCAGAACGACTGGAGGTGATAAGGGACACACAGAGTTGCCGAGCCTGATCTAGTCTGAAGTATCCCCATGCGGCCTAACTGCTCACTGATACCAGTTTAGCAGGTAACTTGTTTACTCTCACCAATAATCCTGTGAACTTTGTATTGCTATTTCCACTCTTTGAATGAGGAAACCTGAGGCGGGTGCACACTCGGGGCAGAGATAAGCCTTGTGCCCAGGTCTTGAGACATCCTGTTCTCTCGTCACCCCAGCAGCGGGCCCTGGAAGGTGGGGACACAGGTGGGGTGGAGAGGGATGGGGCAAGGGTCTGCGCACCTGGTGCTGCACACGGCCGAGCCTGCTGACAGGAGCCTGGTGAGCAGGCCCCGACCTGCTGCTGCTGGGTTCCCCGGTCTTAGGCAACGGAGAAAACGGCACACTATATAACCTTTGTTATGCAAAATCTGCTTCACCCGTTCTTCTTTTCAACTTAAAGATTATGTCCAAAAGTTCAGCGTTCTTCCACTCAACCCCACCATGCTTTTTACTATGATAATGTGATGATACAGGTGAGCGGAGGAAAATGGTCCCTACATGTTGTAGTTGGTTCAGGCTGCTCCGCCACGGTACCGGTTCCGGAGGCTGGAAAGGGCCGGCTTGCGGCCCGGGCGGACTCAGTGTCTGCTGTAAACTCTCTCTGGGTTGTAGGCAGCCGACCTCACTGTCCTCACATGGTGGGAAGGATTCAGGAGCTCTTGGGGTGCTTATAAATCATTAATCCCACCCTGACGATCCAAAGACCTCCACCTACCAATACCAACTTTGGGGGGTAGGATTCCAACAAATGAATTTTAGTGGGACACAGACAGTCAGACCACGGCACTGGCATCCAATGGCATCAGATTGCAGGTTCTAAAAGCCAAAAAGAAAGCAACATTAAATTAATAAAATGAAATAACAATGTGAGGGGAACAGAAATAAACCACGTTCTAAAATTAATCGTAATAACCAACATAAATAAAAAGTTAAAATAAAAACATTAGTCTCTCATTCTCTCAACCAGCAGCTGGAATTAGTTTCAACTTTGTCTCTCCCCGTCTGGATTCTACAATTTTTGCATAGCTGTAACGACAGTAGGTTTGTATTCTGTATTTTTACATTTTGTATTGCCGCAATGCAAATAATGAAAGTTTTGTGTGAGGACCGCGTGCAGCTTCTTAAGGAAATCCCACTTTGCAGGTTAGCACCTGTGCTTATTAAAGTGCGACTGTGGCCCTGGCCGGTTTGGCTCAGCAGTTAGAGCATCGGCCTGCGGTCCAGAGAGACCCAGGTTCGGTTCCTGCTAAGGGCATGTACCTCGGTTGCAATTTGTCCCCGGCCCTGGTTGGTCGTGCGGGTGGCAGCCACTCGATGTGTCCCTTTCACGTCGATGTTTCTCTCTCTCTCTCTTCCTCTCTCTCCCTCCCGCTCTATCTGAACAAAAAAATGGAAAAATGTCCTCGGGTGAGGATAAAAAATAAATAAATAAATAAAGTGTGACTGTGTCGCCAACACTGTTGAGATCACAGGCTTTTCCTTAGCTTATATTTTTTATTAAAAGAATGTATGTGTGTAGTAAAAAAAGTAAGTCAAAATACGGCAGAATCTATCATGAAAAACAACCTCCTGCCACGCCAGCCTCCCTACCCAGACCCACTTCTTTGGGGCAACCACTTTTAACCTTTCTTATTTGTTTTCTGTGGAAAGGATGATATAGATTGTTTAATTATTATTTTTTAATCTGTATCTTTTGCTTTTTAAATTTATTTTTGTTACAGATGTTTTTCCTTTTCCGCCTATTGACACGTTCCTCCCAGTCCCGCCCCTGCCCCAGCACTGTTGTCTGTGTCCTTGGTTACGCGCACATGCGTACAAGTTCTGTGGTTTATCTCTTCCCTCCACTTGTCCCCCTCTTCTGAGGCTTGTCAGTCTGTACCCCACATCCATGTCTCTGGGTCCATTCTGTTCATCATTTTGTTTTGTTCATTATAGTCCACAAATAAGTGAGATCACATGATATTTGTCTTTCTCTCATTGGTTTATTTTGCTTAGCATAATACTCTTGAGGTCCCTCCATGTTGTCTGAAATAATAAGAGATCTTTCTTTCTTACAGCTGCATAGTACTCCAGTGTGTACATGTACCACAGCTTTTTTTATCTGCTCATCTACTGATGGACACTTGGGCTGTTTCCAGATCTTAGCAATTGTAAATAGTGCTGCTACGAACATGGGGGTACATACATTCTTTCTGATTGGTGTTTCAAGCTTCCTAGGATATATTCCTAGAAGTGGGATTGTTTGTTTGTTTTTGTTTTAACCAAAAGTATTTATTGATAGATTGAAGAATACAGTTTTAATGGAACTATAAGGTACAACTGTGGATTAAAACCGTTTGCTATACAGCCAAAATGAGAAAAAAAGCCATAATCTTAGAAATTTTAAATAGGCAAGTCAAGGAGCCACGTTTTCGGTTTTCTGGTGGTTAGGGGAGGAAAAAGTTTCCTTCAATCCTCTTAGGGTGATGCTGGGTTGGTGAAGAGCGGACAGTAGTGGAGGAACATGACAGGTCAGAGTGTGAGACCAGAGTAATAAACTGGGGAACCTTAGCAAGGCCTGTTTGTTAGGTTCTTCTCGTGTCCCTTGCCTTCAGTGATAAGGATGGTCAGGGGACCTCTACCTGAGGGTTTTATGATCTGTTTCCGGGGAATGGGGAGGGGACGATCAGAGTGACCTTCCTGCTTCTGCTGTTTCCTTAAACTCTTTCATCTTATATCTTCAATTTGCCAAGGTGCCATAATTTTGGGGTAGCATGTTCTGAACCTCATCAGTGGTCACTTCCATAATTTCAAATGAAGTGCTCAAAGTGTCATTTTTGTTGTTTATTAATTTTAGGAAATATCTATCGTCTCCTTACAACTCCTTAACATCTTTCCCTTCTCCCTCTTCATCTTGATAGTTTTATTGCTACTATTTATCTTTATCTTTGTAACTTGGAATACTCACCTTCCCATTCATTGGTCCATTAATCCCAGAATCTCGGTCTATTTATGGAAGATGTAGACAACCCTCCACACCTCCTCCCTTTTCCTCCCATCCTCCCATCCTGTGTCACATCAGCCATGCTTTTACATTTACATGGCTGGGGTTGATGACTATACTTCTTTACTGTGATAATACTTGTCTTCCATGCTTTGTTTAAGGCAGAATTTCTCAACCCTGGCATTACCGGCACCACGGGCTGGAGATTCTCCTTGACATTTGTAGGTGGATTAGCAATACCTCTGGCCTCTCCCCACTGGATGACATCCAAAAATGTCTCGAGATACTGTCCAATGTTCCTGGGAGAGGGGAGCAAAGCCACTCCTGCTCCTAGCTGAGAAGCACTGGTCTAGAGTTTAAGGTAGATTCAAAAATTGAAAACCAATGGAGTTGGAAAAATTCACAAATGAAACTCTCCCCCACAAAGTCTCTTTCCTGGTGTGCACACACCTTCTTCTAAACACTAATGTAGGTGTAACAATGAAGGCATTTTGCAGATGTAATTAAGATCAAAGATCGGTTGACCTTAAGGTAAGGAGTGTCTAGGTCGGAGAGATGTAATCATAGATTATCTAGGTTGCAGCCCTTTAAGTCTGTGACTAGAGGACGGGCAGGGTAAGTCAGAGAGGTTCGGAACATGAGAAGGATTTCACATGCCTTTGCTGACTTCAAAGATGGAGAAGGCCCAGGGCCAAATGCCCCCAGTGCAGGTAGCCTCAGAGCTAGGAGTCACCCCCCGCTGACCGAAAGCAGGGAAACAGGGACCTTAGTCCTACAACCATAAGGAACTGAATTCAGCCAGGAACAAGAATGAGCTTGGAGCAGATTCTTCCCACAGAGCCTCCAGAGTGAAA